GGGCGGAGTTAGGCTCCCCCCTCCCCCACCTGCTGCCCTCAGGCCCTTGTGCAGCCCCCTGGCTCCACCGCACCTGCCCTCCACCCCATGGACGGCCCTGGGGGCTCTGTTGCTCTGTCCTTCCTGAGCGGTGGAGCCCTGGGGGTAGGGGCTCCGGCAGGGGTTGAGGGGGACACAATCGAGTCAGGATTGGAACTCTTCCCCTCTTCCCCCTGGCAGGAGCCTCTTACCTCCCTCTTTGAGTCTGCTCCCTCCTCCCTGCAGGGTCCAGCAGGTCCCGCCCGCCTTGGTCCCTGTGGTCCCTCGTGCCCATGCCTCCTGCCCTTGTTCCGGGAGGCCCCCAGCCCAGGCACCGACCAGCCTCTCTGCTGCTGAGGTCCTGTCCTTCCCCCGTGTCCCCCAGACACTCAGGGACAATGACTATGGAACGTCCCCGCCCTGTGCCCCTGTCTCCCTTGTGGCCACCATTTGCCCCCAGCCCTGGCCGGAGTGAGATGCTACCGAGGAGCAGTGGGTGGTCCAGGCAGGGACGCTGGACGCCACCTGTGGAGGGACTGGTGGCTAGAGGCACCACCGGGGCCCCCCACTGGCCGGACCTGGCTGGCCCTGCGCATCCTCAGCAACCAGAGAGAGACAGGGGGTCCTGTCAGAACTGGTGGCTACAGGGCCTCGGCTGAGGGTGGCCTGCTCCCATGGCCTGTGTGTAGCCTGAGGGTGGCCATGCCACGCCCATTACTGTACCTGCCTTGCAGGTGAGGCGTGGCACCCAAACCCGGTCAGAGACAGCTCAGGAAGTCGGCTGAGCCCTACGTGCACACCCCCCGCTTTGTTAGGGGCCCTGGCCCTGGGGGCGCCTGCCCTGTGCTCTCTGTCAGGCCCCCAGCTCCAACCCCTCTTCTCCTCTGTCCATGCCATCTGGGGAGTGGCCTCAAGACCATCCTTGTGCTCGCGGCCCCGAGATGCCCTGTAGCTCAGGCTCCCCAGGACCCCACACTTCTTGGCCCCAGCACAACTCCCTCGGTGACCCACCCCACGACCCCTCCGCTAGCCCTCCGCACACCAGGCTTCCTTCAGGGTTCCTCTCTTTCCTTTGCTCCCATGTCCAGGCCCAGGAAAATCCTGGGCTCTTGTTGCCCTGGGCCATGGCCCCCCCCAAAGGTGGGAGAGCCTCTGCCCACCCCAGTGCCTGGATGGGAGCCTGGAACAGAGCAGGTGCTCCATGAATGCAGGTGAGGAAGGGACACTTGGGAGGTGGTACCCCCATGTGCCAGTGGAGCCACCAGCCCTATCCCTGGTCCAGCCGCCTCTCTGCCCATGCAGTGGCCAGAGGGAGCTTCCCAGACCACTCCTGTGGTCCAGCGCCCTGGCTGGGCCTCGGTCCTCTCTTCCTTGGCCACCATTCAGGTATCATCTATCTGCTCAGGTGGGCTGCCTGGGGGCCCAGCTAACATAGCCCCGCCCATATACTCTGCACCTGACCTTACACTGGGTTCTGGGTCCCTGCTGAGGCGTGGCCCCACCTTGTTCCTTCCTTTTGCTCTCCAGCGATCAAACTCTGACTCGGGCCGCCCCCTCCATGGTGGTACCTGGTGTTACAGCCCCCTGGAGCCCCCCTAATCTCAGTGTGGAGCATTGCAGGCCCAGGGGACAGAGGTGGAGACCGGGGGTCCTGCCAGGCACATGGAGATGCCAGTCATTTCTGACGTAAAGGGAGTCTCAGCCTTCTGCAGGCCGGAGTGGAGGGCAGGGGGATGGCAGCCAGGCCTTGGCCAGGGGCTGAGCCAGCAGGCCCAGGCTGTGTGCCAAGCGTGAGCGTCCCTCTAGCCTGTGGGGAAGGCAAGGCCTTGCCCAACCTTCCTGCTCTGACCGCAGTCCCCCCTCCCTGGTGACTCAGCACTGAGAGCTCAGCGGAACCCCCTGCTGACCTTGGAGGGAGGGTGGGATGCGTCCGGGGACCTGACAGCTGGTGCCCGGTCCCATGCCACGCGCAGGGACGCCAGCTCTTGGGTGGGTTCCCACTGGGCGTGCGGGGCCAGGTCCTGTCCCAGCCATGCATGGGCCACACAAGCCCCCTGGCTTCTCTCACATCCAACCCCAGAGAGGTGAACCCCTCTCCAGGGATTAGCAGTGTGAACCTGCCAGTCCTGTGGGGCTCCCCCAGCCCCTGGGAGTCATCTCACAGGCTGCTGTCCGTGTCGTGGGCAGGATGGCAAAGGAGGGTGGATGCCAACCCCATGGTCCAGATGGCCTGGGGGGCACGGCTCTCTTGGTGCCCACCCGTGGGGCCGCTTGCCTCTTTCTCTCCGGCCTCAGGGGGATCTTCCAACAGCTCTGTGTCCGCCTCTGGGCTTTGACCTCTGGGAAACAGCTACCTCGAGCCCTCTGGTCCCTTCATCCCTCCAGGAGCACTGTCCTCACCACTGGAGTCCCTTCCTCGTGGTGGGGCTGTGAGCCTGCCGCCCACCGGGTTCACAGGGCACCCCTTGTTCTTGGGGGCGGGGCACATGCTGGGGGTTGAAGGACATCTCCGACCAAACCTCCCCGCTGGGTCCCCTTTTCCCCAGGACCCCACTGGGGAGTGGCCCAGCCTTTCCCACACCCAGGCCCGTGAGCAAATGGAGAAGTTGCCGCGGGTCCCACACGGGGTGGGGGTGAAGTGTGAGTATTTCCCAAGCCTAGAGGGAAGGGACTTGCTCAAGACCATGCAGGTTTGTGCCCGCACCGACCCCACCCCCGATTCCTGTGCGTTTGGGAGCCCATGGGAGTCCTGCAAGGGATGTCCCCCGGTGAGCTCAGCTCCAAGCACTGTGAGCTCCAGGGCCAAAACTGGAGGAGGGACCTGGAGTCCTGGCCCTCCTTGGGCAGCCCCTGGTGCTTTCTGCGTCTCCGTGGGGCCCTGTCCTGGGAAAGAGTATAGCTTCCAGGCCAGGCTGCCCACCCAGGGGCCACTCTGGCCACCAAGTGTGGGTGCTCCGGGATCCTGGAGCCACAGCGCAAACCTGGCCCTTTTGAGCAGTGGTCCTTCCTGGCTTACGACACCCTACGATGGAGTCAGCCTGGCTCCCAGTGTTGAGATCCACTCTGGGCTTAGGCTCTGGGGGCACGTTGGAAGCAGGACAGCCCCTCTGGACTCAGTTTCCTCATCTGTAAAGTGGGGAGAGTTCTGGAGCCACCCAAATGGTGGCTGTGAGGGCTCCATGCAATATGGGGGGCCATTCCACATGACACACCAGGAAGCAGGGCTCCTCGGAGCCTCTCACTGGCCCCTCAGTGACCCTCGAATGTTGTTATTACCCCACAAACAATTACTGAGCTGCAGCGTGTGTTCTGGGTGCAGGAACAGTCCAATCTTGGCTGTGCTACTTGCTACGGGGCTGTCCAGGCCCCCTCAACCGCCCCTGCCCTGTTCCCATATCTGTGGTGGGGTGACCACAGGCTGGCCGGTGGGGGAGCCGGCACTGGGGGGCTGTCAGCCAGTGTAGCCCCAGGGGAACAGTCTGAACAGTCTGTAGTGGGTTGAATGGTGGCCCCAAAGGGACAGGCTCCAGTCCTAGCTGCCAGCTCTTTGAGATGCAACCTTACTTGGAAATAGGGTCTGTGTGGATGTAACCAGTGCAGACGAGGTCACGCTGGAGCAGGGTGGGCCCTAATCCAATATGACCGGCCTCCTTATAAAAAGAACACCACGTGGAAGACAGAGTCGCAGGGAGAGGGCCACGCGCCGACAGAGGCAGAGGTGGGAGTGACGTGGCCCCAAACCAAGGGACACCAAGGTTCTCTGGTAAACACCAGAAGCTGGAGGAGGGAGGAAGGAGTCTATCTAGGACCTTCAGGAGGAGCAAAGCCCTATAGCCACCTTGATTTTGGACCTGTGGCCTCCAAAACCATTGTCCTAGGCCCCCCTCCCCCCTCCAGTTTGCGGTCATCTGTTACAGCAGCCCCAGGACACTGACACGCAGTCAGCCATTAGGCCGCAATAACACTGGGAAATTGTGGGGTCT